ATACGGCTGTGTAAAATGACGTTGAGCAATACCACCAGCTCCGTCAGAATTTGGAGAGACCTCTCTGAGCCGTTCGCCACAAAACGGGGTTTCAGACAGGGTGACTCCCTTTCATGTGACTTCTTTAATCTGATGTTGGAGAAGATAATAAGAGCTGCAGAACTGAACCGCTCAGGAACAGTTTACTACAAGAGCGTGCAATTGCTGGCTTATGCCGATGACATCGACATCATCGGTAACAAAAACCGCGAAGTCTGTTCTGCCTTTTTCAAGTTGGATAGGGAAGCAAAGCGAATGGGTCTGGTGGTAAATGAGGACAAGACGAAGTATCTCCTGTCATCAAACAAACAGTCACTGTTGCCAGTTACAATTTCGAGAAAGTAGAGAATTTCGTTTACTTGGGAACCAGCATTAACACCGATAATAATGCCAGCATTGAAATCCAACGCAGAATCACTCTTGCCCCTAAGTGCTACTTTGGACTGAGTTGGCAATTCAGGAGTAAAGTTCTGTCTCGACGTACGAAAACCACGCTCTATAAGTCACTCATCATGCCCGTGCTGGTATATGGCGCAGAAGCATGGACAATGACAACATCCGATGAGGCGGCTCTTGGAGTGTTTGAGAGAAGATTTTGCAGAAGATTTACGAGCCTTTACGCGTTGGCGACGGCGAGTGCCGCAGACGATGGAATGATGAGCTGTATGAGCTTTACAACGACATGGACATAGTGCAGCGAATTAAAATACAGAGGCTCCGCTGGCTTGGCCATGTCGTTCGAATGGACACCGACTCTCCAGCTCTGAAAGTATTCAACTCGGAACCCGATGGTGGTAGCAGAGGAAGAGGGAGGCCCCCACTGCGAGGGAAAGATCAGGTGGAGAAGGACTTGGCTTCACTTGGCGTTTCCAATTGGCGTCAGTTGGCACAGGGGAGAAACGACTGGCGTGCTTTACTGAACTCGGCAAAAATCGCTTAGGCGGTTACAGCGCCAAAAAAGAAGAAGAAGAATTGATGGAAATGTGCAATATGCGCAAACGCGGTTAGAAGCCGAATTGGAACTTAGTTGAACATATTGGGCTTTTCCAGCAATCATAGTTTAAAATTAAAAGAGACTGATGCTTTGGTTTTCTGCATTTCCGAATAGGGGGATTGTTATAAGTGTTAACTTGAAGGAAATTAACGTCTTCAGTTATTCAAATATCGGAGTTTTCATATACCCAAAAATTATCGTTATACGGGATACCGGTGCAATTCTAGTCCGATTTAAATAATTTTCACTGAATTGCTTTTTCGTACCAAGGTTATTAAATACACCACGTATGGTAGAAATTGTTAAATCGGTTACCGAGATAAGTGGGCGGCGTCACGCCCAAAATCCAAAAGTTTGTAATAATCTAATTAGTAAAGCGGTTACTAAGATATAGTATTTCATCATAAGTGGGCGGGGTCACGCCCTTTTCCAAAAATTTCATAATATTTTATACCAAAATTCTACTTCACATACTAATTTTCAACAATTTGGATCCAATATTTATTGAAATATCATAGTTTTTGCATTTTTCTAAAATACCGTTATATGAGAAGGGGGCGTGGTTACAGTCCGATTTCGCCCATTTTCAATAGCAGCCTACCTTGGATAAAGGGCAACCTGTATACCAAATTTCGTTGAGATATCTCAATTGTTGCTCGAGTTATCGTGTACACGGGCGGACGGACGGACAGACAGACATGGCTAAATCGACTTTTCTTTTCATTCTGATCATTTATGTATACATTTGTCTATATCTATCTCGATTCCTTTAGGCTGTTACAAACAACCGTCATGCATGTAGAATGTATCTTTCTTTCATGATCACCAAGAGTTCAGCAAATGGTCATTTTCTAAACTGAAGCTAATAAAAAATCGAGTTCGGAAGTCCATGACGGAAAACAGGCTGAACTTTTTGACTTTTATTCACGCAGTTTCTTTAAAAAATAAATAATAACACCGTCCGCAAAAAAAAATTGCCAAAAATCAAAGCGGGTTTTAGCGCCTTCAAGCTTGCATTTTGTGCCCTAAAATTGAATGGCCTCACCGCAGAAACCATGTTTTACACGAAAAAGGCATATTCTAAAACTTTGATAAATTAACCGGAATAAAGCTATTCTTATTCAGAAATGTCTAAAGAACTCAAAACTGGTTACTACTTTCAGTAATATCTGCTGAGAAAGCCGTTGTA